GCTATATTCTATGTTATGTTCTTTGATTCACTAAACCTAAAGGCTCTAATCAGGCCGTTTTAGTCAGGTCGTGTCGAAGGTTTGTTGCCCGATGCTTACAATCAGGTTTGCCAGCATTGATTGTAAAACGGATCGTTAAATTCTGTCTTTTCGCCTATCAGGGAAAGCCGTTACACGAAAGTTTTCTAAAACGTTAAGAATTCCGTTTATACTTTTTATGTTCGGAATCTTTAAGTTTTATTGTTCAACGATTTTTTGGCTTATTTCGAACAATATCAAAGATTTTTCATTTTGCTTTAAGATATATAGCTTTGTCTCCTTCTTAAAAACTAAAAGTTACGTTTGCTTTTAAAATATCTTACTTTTGAAAACTTTATTATCGAAGATTTGTGTGTCTGAGTCGTTCTGAGTATACCATGGTCGGCTCTCGGACGGCTCTGTAACGGTTTTAATCCTTTTCAGTCGGTGAACCGCCAGCGGCACGCGCTGTTTAATTACTGTTAATAAACAAAGTATTAAATGAACAGCTATGTGGTTCGATAAACAATTTGTTTGTCGGGCCGCTAGATTTGTTGTTCGGTATATGCGGAGCCATAAATAAGGTTTCAGTTCCAAATTCCTCGTCACTCAGTTTGTTGCTCAACTGTGAAAAGTTATCAACTCAGTCAAATGGATTGTGCTCAGTTGAAATCTATCGTTTCCCTTGTGGATTCTCTTGTACGTAACAGGCATGTCAGAAAGTCACGTGTGCTGTCATCAAATCAAGTTCCTATTGGTGAACCATCCTTGGCTCCAGTCTCAAGCAAGTCTCTAACGGACTTCTCCATCTGCAGTATCCTGGGTCTAGAACATGAAATCAGTCAACCTCCCCCAAGTTCCGGTAACTAGTAAGAATATTCTAGCTTCAGATACTCCGCGAGGCCTTAGTCGAGGGCATCATTTGACATTTTTGATTATTAGAAATCAATTTTCATCCTATTGCCTTTCTCCTATTTCAATCCATCTCTGAGTTAACAGAAAAAGAGCAATACTCCGCTTCAGACAGGAGATTTCTGTTGTTAAAACGTCTAGCCATTAGAGCGTTATTATGAAACGACTTATATCTATCCAACCCCAAAATTGTCCGTAGGAATAAACATTTAAGCATGTGTTTATATTTATGTTGACTACTTGTATTTAAGTGATATCAAGAGGAAATAATAGGTGACATGTGAAAAACTAAAATTCAATTCTTCTTTAATTTACAGAATGCAACAGTGATACCAGTCTGCCGTTATCGCCTTACTCCGACTGCGCAAGTCCGCGTCCCAGCCACCGGGCAACCAGTCCACCGTTAACTCCTTACTCTGACATCACAAGTTCCAGCTGCGATTGTGACAGTGAGCCCGATCAAACTTCGACTCCAACCGAACATTCAGCAACGAAGAAGCGACAGCGTACGATCTTCTCACCGATCGAAGTTTGGGAGCTGGAACGAGCATTCACACGGCGTCCATATTTGCTAAAAGAAGACGAGGAGGAACTGGTACAAAGACTCGGAATCACGGCTAAAAGTGTGAAGGTGAGTTTCTTTCTTTCATGTTTCATATCATGAACGTAAATAACGAGAAACAATGTGTATTTTCACCCTAGGAGGGACGGAATTTCAATTCGTAGCTCGGCAACTGTAAAGCGATTTTTCAGTCCGAAATATTTTGAAAAGAAGTATGCATTTGTTCCGACGTATACCAGTAATTACATGTGATCTTGCAAATAAAAGTAAACTTATGGTTTGTCATTGTAATTTCCTAAATTTCTTTGAAACAAAGTCATAGTGTTTTCTTTAAGTGATGTGACACAATGTTGCAGTTGATCTATTTTTCAGCCAGAAAAACGGTTCGGAAATGTATAAAAATCGTTGGTACTGTGTGGTGCCGTGCCGGTGTAGATTATTGCCATGTTACTGCCCTAATTTAGTTAATTTATATTTTTTGTTCTCTTTAATTTCTTGCAGTATTGGTTTCAAAACCGACGAGCCAAGTCTAGGAAACTGGAGAGAGAGATTTCATCCGTCTGTCATACGAGCCTGTCAAACCAGTTTGTTCGGCGACCCTATCCAGCCTGGAAACAAGGTGAACGAGTGTCCTGTCCAGCGATGGATAGCTACTTTAGAGATAACCGGAGAATAGTTGCCAGTCGTCAACTCTCAGTCAAGTCAAACCGTGTACTGAAGTTCCACCCTGACCAGTTCACAATCAGACCAGTTGAGCCGGCAAGACTACCGTACAACCGTGCCTCGTACAGATATCAACCATACTAAGTTGCAGAAAATAGAGACTGTGATGCATTGACTGTAAATACGATAAAAGAGCTGAAAAAGCTTAAAATAATTTACAAGTATGAAACAGCTTAAATAACACCATACAAAAACTGAATGTTATCTAAGTAGTTTATTAGGAGAAAAAAAATTTTTGTTCATTGCTTTGTAAATAGTTCTAGTAATGAAGCTGGTAGTGTTGTAATAAAAGAGTTTCTACATTTAATAACATGAAGGTTGATCGTCATTTAGTAATCTTTTAGCTTCATTTATTAGATGAACGGGGAAGTGGGGGTAATTGTAGTAGTGATAATATGAAGTTTAATCGTTATTTGGTGAGTTGACAAGGGATCAACAGTTGGAAACTTTTGATTTTAGAATTTAAAATGCCTTTTTTTTCGACTCAGCAACAACATTGAACGGGAAAGTTTGGCAATTAGGATCCCGTAGTGGGATTGATGAAAGCAGAGGGGCCCGAATCCTAGGGCCGACATTAATTAACAAAACTTGTGTACTCTATAAGTGGTGGAAAGGACACAAAAATATCTTTGAGCAAAGTAATTAGTTCACTAGATTTTAACAATTAGCGCACTTTTCTCTAAGCGAATTCAACTCAAAAGGCAACAAATGCACGAAACGGCTTGGATGGATCAAAATTGGGCTATTCCTTAACAATTGCTTAGTGCTGGCGGTGAGACTGAGATGTTCACGCTATGAACGGGTTTGTGAGAGGTTTTAATGAGTTTGTTTATATAACACAAAAGAATGAATAAATGCCGAACAATATCCAGAGAGAAACACATAAACTGACTGCACACTTGTTGCCTCAACACTCGGAAATAACTACTTCAAAGTACGGAGCCCATTTGCTCTTGCAAGGTGGCGGCCCGCTGCTTACTCGCTTTTTTGTAAATTTCTTTGCCGTCCCTGTACAACTAGGATGTAGAATAACCTAGTAATTGTTATTAGAATAAGTCGATTTGAGAGCGGGAACGGCAAGGCGAGAAAATTAACCATCTCTCTTTGATCTCGTACGAATGGCCCCCCCCTTTTTTCCAACCTAATTTCTCTAATTTTCAGTAACTGGCTGACCTGTTGATATGAGCAAAAAAAGTTTTAAAGGTCGATGCAAAGTCTATTTTTCATCATTTTTTGTTCATCGTTGGCGTCGCAGTCGTGGGATGTTAAGGTCCCTGGCTTCTGGTTTATACGGTTCGCAAACTGTAATTTATTTTCAGTTTTTGTGAATGAAGCTGCCCGTTTACTTGCTCCTCGTCGCCGAGGATGTTTCACAAAACGTCAAACGCTACGAGGATACGAGGCGACTGTATATACCCAAGCTAATTTAGCTGACCGGTCACCAATCAAATTCAAGCGTCAGCATTGCCTATATCGGATTTTATCGGATCATCCCCTGTAACTCACTAAACAATGACAGGCTAACGGAAGTTTATACGATCCGGTCCACTCCTGACCGATCCACTGGGTCGGCAAATTATCTTAATAATTCTACGAAGCTAAAACTGAATATTAAGATAAAGTGATGGTCATAGACATCCACAAGAGCGTCTTTATCAGAGCCTTTAATTTTTATAATCTAATTTCTGATTAAGTTACGATGGCCCATGGAGTAGTTTTATTTTAATGATTCATAATGCTGCATGCTATTCACGGTTGATACATAAACGCTGTTGAACGTTGTTGAACATAAACGATGTAAAACGAGAACCTAGTTGAGTTTTTGCCGTGGCCAAGAGGCTACAAGTTACGAGCTAGGACATGAATGAGGAGAAAGAGAGCAAACCTTTGACGATCTGAGCCGATTGTTCAAAATAAGAACTTTGCCTCGATCGGACTTTCACTGAGTACTCCACACCAAATTCTTGACTACGAAGTAGACAACATTTCTAAAATTTATGGATCCAGGCATAATAATCATAGAGAATTCAAAATCTGAATTTCCTGTTATATTACATTTTGGAAGAAAGAAAAATCTAACATAACAACAACAACAACAACAATTTTATTCTTTACATTCACATTCCAAGGAGTAAAATAGCTCGCCCCGAGAAAAGCTGGAAAGCTATACCAGTCATGGCGGGGCAATTAAATTAACTCGACAAAGCCATCGAAATTGAGATTCGAACTCACGATCGACCCTCCGAGTTCTAGATGGTTATGTTCAGTTATGTTCTATTAATCCTAAAGACTTAAATGCTGTCTTTACAATCGTTTGCCAGCATTATTGTAAAGACTGAGTCTTTATATACTGACAATCGGTCTTTTCGGGAAAAGTGGTTACTAAAGATTTTGATTTCTCATAAGAAATTACTGTTACGTTTTCGTGGAATCTTTCGTTTCATTACGTTGTTTAACGGCTTATTTCGCAAAAGATCATCAATTTTATGCATTTTTACGAAAAAAAGGATTGGTCTCCGTCAATAAACAATAAAAGCCACTTTGGAAGCTTTGTTATCCAAGATTATCCTAGTTAGTCAGATCAAACCGCGATCGCCGGCTCTTTATCGGTTTCAGGTCTTTTAAAGGAACCGCCGCCGGCACGCGCGTGCGGGTCGTAAATATTATGATTGTCGGGCCGCTAGCTTTGTTGCTCGGTATATGCAGACTATAAATAAGGTTTCAGTTTCAAACGACTCTTCACTCAGTTTGTTGCTCAACTGTGAAAAGTTATCAGCTCAGTCAAATGGATTGTGCTCAGTTGAAATCTATCGTTTCCCTTGTGGATTCTCTTGTACGTAATACTCATGTCAGAAGGTCACGTGTGCTGTCATCAAATCAAGTTCCTGTTGGTGAACCATCCTTGGCTCCAGTCTCCAGCAAGTCCCTAACGGACTTCTCAATCTGCAGTATCCTGGGTCTAGAACCTGAAATCACCCAATCTCCCTCAAGTTCCAGTAAGTTAAGAGTTCCATTCTTAGATACTCGAGCCCTTAATTAGTCGAGAACATCATTTGGCAATTGTATCAATACATTTCCCTTTCGATATAAAATTTTATCCCGTTGCCTTTCTACTATTTTAATCCATTTCGGAAACAGAAAAAGAGAAATATTCAGCTTTGAAACAGGAGATTTCTGCTGGTTAAAGCTAGCTAGATAATACTATAATGAAACAAATTTAAAATATCTATCCAAACCGAAAATTGTCCTTAGGAAGAGACATAAAAACATGTGTCTATGTTAATGTTGAATATGTGTCTCACACGGCATTTAAGTAGATTAAGAGGAAATAATACGCGACATGCGAAAACTTTAAAGTCTATTCTTCTTTAATTTACAGAAAACAACAGTGCTACCAGTCCGCCATTATCGCCTTACTCCGACTGCGGAAGTCCGCGTCCCAGCCACAGGGCAACCAGTCCACCGTTAACTCCTTACTCTGACATCACAAGTTCCAGCAGCGATTTTGACAGTGAGCCCGATCAAGCTGCGACTCAAACCGAACATTCAACGAGGAAAAAGCGACAGCGCACGACTTTCTCAACGATCGAAGTTTGGGAGCTGGAACGAGCATTCAGACGGCGGCCATATTTGCTAAAAGAAGACGAGGAGGAACTGGTACAAAGACTCGGAATCACGGCTAAAAGTCTGAAGGTGAATTTCTATCTTTCACGTTTCCTATCTTGTACCGTAAATTTCAAGACACAAAGAACATTTGTAATCTAAAATGAAATGCAAACTCAGCTCGATTTTGTTCTTGACTAAGACCCTGTTTACATGGAGTGGGGGACCCGGTCTAGTGGGGTAAGTTTCTTTTGTTTTGTGTCCCCCAGAGCGTGAAAACAAAAGAAACCAACCCCACTAGACCGGGGTCCCCCACTCCATGTAAANCCAGTCCGCCATTATCGCCTTACTCCGACTGCGGAAGTCCGCGTCCCAGCCACAGGGCAACCAGTCCACCGTTAACTCCTTACTCTGACATCACAAGTTCCAGCAGCGATTTTGACAGTGAGCCCGATCAAGCTGCGACTCAAACCGAACATTCAACGAGGAAAAAGCGACAGCGCACGACTTTCTCAACGATCGAAGTTTGGGAGCTGGAACGAGCATTCAGACGGCGGCCATATTTGCTAAAAGAAGACGAGGAGGAACTGGTACAAAGACTCGGAATCACGGCTAAAAGTCTGAAGGTGAATTTCTATCTTTCACGTTTCCTATCTTGTACCGTAAATTTCAAGACACAAAGAACATTTGTAATCTAAAATGAAATGCAAACTCAGCTCGATTTTGTTCTTGACTAAGACCCTGTTTACATGGAGTGGGGGACCCGGTCTAGTGGGGTAAGTTTCTTTTGTTTTGTGTCCCCCAGAGCGTGAAAACAAAAGAAACCAACCCCACTAGACCGGGGTCCCCCACTCCATGTAAACAGGCCCTAAATCACTTTCAGTTTTGCCGGGAAGTAAGATATGTTTATCGATTCAAAGCTTGGCAATTGCAATGTGATTTTTCACTCCAGTCAGAAAATGTTTTGAATACAAGTACGTATGTTTTTGTCGGACAGTAGTTGCATGTAATCTTGCAAAGTTTTGTTTCATGTCAGTCATCGTTCTTTTCTAAACCATTCATGTTTTTTAGCAATTTTGATTGAAATTCTTAATTAATTGAACACTTCATAAGGCAATTTGAACGCTATTTTGCTGTCAGAAAATGTTTTGGAATTACATACAAGTCATCATCGGTTTTGTGTGTTGTGTAGATTTTCCCTGTTATTGCCCTAATTGAGTTAATAAGTCAGATTTTTGTTTTCTTTCTTGCAGTATTGGTTTCAAAACCGACGAGCCAAATCAAGGAAACTGGAGAGAAAGATTTCATCTGTCTGTCAGACAGGCCCGTCAAACCAGTTTGTAAGCCGACCCTATTCAGTTCATTGGAAACAAGGCGAGCGAGTGTCCTGTCCAGCGATGGAAAGCTACTTTAGAGATATAAACCAGAGAACAGTTGTCAGTCGTCAACTCTCAGTCAAGTCAAACCTTGTACCGAAGTTCCACCCTGACCGGTTCACCATCAGACCTGTTGAGCCCGCAAGACTACCGTACAGCCGTGCCCTCTGCAGATATCAACCATACTAAGTTAAGACTTTTGTTTTTCTGTAAGATTGTGCTGAATTTGATAAGTAGGCTAAAGAATATATGTTAAGAACATTTTACAAATATTATAAGTTAGACGTAACAGCTCGAACTAGATAGCATTGGATATATCTCATCTAGTAGTGTAGGGGGAAAAGTATTTTTAATAATTGCTGTGTATATAGTTCTAGAAAGGAACCTGGTAGTGTTGTAAATAAAACAGTTTTCAGAAGTGATACCATGAAGTTATTTGTTAATCGTTCATTTTCTTTTATAATTTGTTGAACGGATGAAGAGGGGAAGGAAGACTTTGGAAACAAGGTAATGCTGCCTTGAGTGCAAAAATCGTAGCTTGCTATTATTGAAAAACACTTTACTCGGTAATTATGTTTGTCATCTAGTTTACCACAGCCAGCGTCTTATTTCAGTGCATTTTGTTACGATAATCTACAATTTTAGGTTTTAGAAACAAATCCTTATATTACTGAAGTTATTTAACAGAAGCAAAGCCCATATTTAAAGATTGGGTCATTTGTGGTTTAAGCGATGTAAGTGTAACACCAGGCATTAAGAAGTCGCGTCTTTTTTATGTCGCGATCTCCTCCTATAATCCCTATCCTGTTTCCACAATCTTCATCTACTTTTTGCATTGGATACGCCATCCTGCCTTCCATCAGCCAACCATTTCTACAAATAAAAAAAGAAAAAGTGCAACAAAATGTACCATAATGAGAACATTAAATTAAATATCATGATTATTATTATGAAAGTGGAAAAGACCTAAACAACCTTCGCGGTTGAAAAGAACCTGAAAAATCAAGGCTTGACTGGGAATCGAACCTTTACCTTTGCGATGACCGGGTGCAACGCTCTTTCCGATCCATAAAACTAACTTAAAACCAACTTGAGAGAAGGTCATTGTGAGTTGGTAGCTAGTATACCCGATGGTGGAAATGACATGAAAGGAAATGTATGAAATGACTCATATTACGACCAGTGGATAAAGATACTGATGGAAGTGGAAATGGTCCTTGCAGTTGATATTTTCTTCAGGTTCTTTTTCAACCGCTTAGGTTGTTTATTGAACTGCGAGGATCATTATCCGCAGTTGAAAATATGAGCCATTTCACAAAAACACAAAAATGGAACAGTGGAAGAAAAGTTGCACTCTCTGAGGCTCACTCTCTCTACTAGTCAGTACTAAAAAAGTGTCTAATTCCCGCCGCTCAATCATGAGGCTTTACCAGGGGAAATGCAAGTGTTCTCATAAGCTACTACTCTTTAGTTGCTTTACCTACAAATCTGAAGTCCAGCTTGCCAGGCAGCGGTTAGTTGATCCAAAGTGGCGAGAGACCCGTTGAGTATTTCACACAGTCGCATAGCCTCAAAATAGTTGAGTTGAAGCTTGCCCACTTGTGCTTGCATAACGCCTTGTACATGTAGCTGTTTTACAACCTCGATGTGAGATTCGTCTGGAATAAACCAGAAAACGCATAAACTTCGGGAAACTTTTCTCGGGGAGAATTCGTGTTCCATGGTCTTAGAGGCCTGAGGAGTCTTAACCCCATTTCCGAATGTTCACGGCAGCTTTAGTCTTCGAAAGATAATCTCGACATTTCTTTTTAAAGCTTAATTTTTGTCGTTAGGTTAATTAGTGGTCGGTACTTTAAAAGCCTTACCAGGAATTTGCTTATCAGAATGCTCCATTCAGTTATCTTTGAGAATTATTACTAGTTAATTGATTCAAAGACATTTAAATGATGAGGGTTGAAAAATTCTTGGATCTTGGTGGCATTTTTACTCAGAAAATAATGAACTCTTGAATAGAGTTTGAGACAATGTTCGTCCACACAGACGGCAAATAGGCCCCAAAATTAATTCAGAGTGGCAACTTTAAGTCCAGAGAAAAAGTGAATCAAGATAAGGAAGGGAGTTCTCATTGCTCCTGGTTTCCAACGTTTTGGTCGGTGAATCAAGAATTCTTACGGGCATTTGCTGGGAAAATATGGTCATTTTCGACAAAATTTAACCAAAATTGGTCGAGATCATTACAAGGAAACGCTATCTTACAAGTAATCCTCTTTCTGAATTTCAAACCGGAATCTGTTCCGTTGCTAGCCTGGGGTAAGTGCGTTTTCTGTGTGTGGGTGCAGGCATTAGAATTCCGTGACGGTCTGACTGAGACCTTAAAACTGATGCTTAACATTTATTTAGAAGTTTTCCTTTCTTCGTGGTTTATACTAGAGAAACCTTTTTGTGTCACCTATACGAAATTAAACGTAGCAACTTACTGACGTTGCATTTGTGGTCAATGTAAGGTAGCACTCTAATTTCCAGAGAACAGTTGCACGTGAACATCTCCAAGGTTGGGCCGTTAACACACGATCCACCGTTCCGACATGGGGATGACAGACAGGGCAAAAATCTGATAAGATCCTGTAAGTACAAGGTAATAATGCTTGTAACTGAGCGTTAAGAATTAATAGTGTTACTCCGCCAAGATAATTAAGACATGACAAAATACACTTTTGAAAGATCTACAATAGTTTTTGGAACTCGCCTTTCTGTCTCTACTTAAAAATTAGAAAACGGCCCGAAATATATATTACTTCTCATGTTCATAGTAAAAAAGCGACAGCGTTTGCTTTCGTTCAAGAGAAAGGTACCTCACTGAATGAGAAGGGGAAAAGAGTCATCAAACTCTTCTGAGAGGCAACGTAACCGAGTGCGGGTGAGTTCGTCGGACTTTCAATCCGGCGGTCCGGGGTTCCATTCCCGTTCCGACCACTTAAGCTGGATTTTTTTTTCAGTCTTCCGGAATAAAATTGGCTATGTCACGTTTTTATATAGCTAACTGGCCTCCTGATAGTTGGCGGGAGTATTTTATCCTGTTAAGTTCTATCTGGATTATTTGTTTCTAATTATTTCAGTAGAATGCTTATAATTATATAAAGTAGTTGTAATTAATTAAGTGCACATTAACTACAACTAGAATCCATAATCGGGATAGGAGACCGCAGCTGGATATCTTTTCGAGTAGTGGGGTTGTTTTCATCAAAATAGCCAAATGTGCTATTTTTTTTTTAAAAAAAGTGTCATCTCGTATGACACGCGCACGCATTTTTTGCGAGGGCGACGAGAAAAGGTTAAACAAACAAAATGGCGTCGGATGTTTCCTCCGTAGGAGATGAATAAATTCCATTTCTGTCATCCTCTGAATTTGAGGCAAGACCTAAAGGCGAAACCCTTTGACAATAACTCTAAATGTGATGGCTGTGAGTGTGATTCTACTTATGTTATATTAAACACCGTAGTGACAGTGTTTTTGACAAATCCAGTGACAAAGAGATATCGTAGATCAGTCGTGCGAAGAATATCCCGTTCGGACTAAACAAACAAAAGTACCTGCGGGGAAAAGGAGGGCGGAAAGTTAACAACAACAACAACAAATAATTATAAATCATTTTCCCCAAATAAATCTTTGAATTCATAATAAATACAGCTCCACCAGCTTCAAGCAGCGTCTACCGGCAGAATTTCACGGAAATAATACTTTAAATAATTATAATAATTTTCCTACTCAACGTTATCCTTGGCAGCGTTGCGGAGTGATCCAGTAGCCGACCTTCCGTGCAGATGGTGCAGGGTCGACTCTCAGCTCTGAGCTGTTTCATTTTTCTTTGTATAATTATCTTTTTTTTTCGTTTTGTTTTGTTGTTGTTTTGTTTTTAATCATGTTTTTTTCCCCTTGGCTTGTTTCCCTTTATTCTTACCGCTGGCCCTTTACAGCCTCGCAAGGTTTTTGCGATAAACGTATTTCTAATTATGTTAATATAACCTTGATTCATTCTTCCACTGTGCATGCATTGTATATCGAGATATGAAGCACTTGGAAAGTTCAGTGAACACCTAAATAAAGTCCCAAAACGATCACCCATCTCTTAAAATTCCACACGAGATCCGCGCGAATTCGCGGCAGGCTTCCGCTCGAGTTTGTGACGTTGAGGATGGCGCAGTTTGTTCTAAAAATAGCACATTTGGCTATTTCGATGGAAACCAGCACTTGCGGTCTTTTATTATTCTACCCCCGATTATGGCTCCTGACTATAACAAAGCTTAAACTACACTTTAACTTCGGAACTTGGCCAAGTTCGAAAATTTTTATCAGTATGTTTTTGTGGATACTGTTTTTAAACCGAAATGAAAATATTTCGCAGATACTACTGAAGGAAAAAAAATGATCTCTTACCCTTGAAAATAATACTTACAGACATTCTCATGCCGTAATAGACAAACTTGGTTCTATTTAGCAGCTTGTGTGGTTCAAGAGCTCTTTCAGAATTGCTAAGCTCACAAATGTGTAATCCGTTGATGGCTATCCGACCAAAGTTAAATGACAGGCAACTTCCTTGAGGCATTTGCAAACACAAGAAGGCACAATCCAGTCCACTTTTTGTCTTCTCTACCTTGGTTATGTTACCCACATGTGATGCTGACTCTATGTTCCGATCCATAAAACTAACTTAAAACCAACTTGAGAGAAGGTCATTGTGAGTTGGTAGCTAGTATACCCGATGGTGGAAATGACATGAAAGGAAATGTATGAAATGACTCATATTACGACCAGTGGATAAAGATACTGATGAAAGTGGAAATGATCCTTGCAGTTGATATTTTCTTCAGGTTCTTTTTCAACCGCTTAGGTTGTTTATGGAACTGCGAGGATCATTATCCGCAGTTGAAAATATAAGCCATTTCTCAAAAACACAAAAATGGAACAGTGGAAGAAAAGGTGCACTCTCTGAGGCTCACTCTCTCTACTAGTCAGTACTAAAAAAATGTCTAATTCCCGCCGCTCAATCATGAGGCTTTACCAGGGGAAATGCAAGTGTTCTCATAACTTACTACTCTTTAGTTGCTTTACCTACAAATCTGAAGTCCAGCTTGCCAGGCAGCGGTTAGTTGATCCAAAGTGGCGAGAGACCCGTTGAGTATTTCACACAGTCGCATAGCCTCAAAATAGTTGAGTTGAAGCTTGCCCACTTGTGCTTGCATAACGCCTTGTACATGTAGCTGTTTTACAACCTCGATGTGAGATTCGTCTGGAATAAACCAGAAAACGCATAAACTTCGGGAAACTTTTCTCGGGGAGAATTCGTGTTCCATGGTCTTAGAGGCCTGAGGAGTCTTAGCCCCATTTCCGAATGTTCTCGGCAGCTTTAGTTTTCGAAAGATAATCTCGAAATTTCTGATCTTCTTAAAGCTTAATTTTTGTCGCTAGGTTAATTAGTGGTCGGTACTTTAAAAGCCTTACCAGAAATTTGCTTATCAGAATGCTCCATTCAGTTATCTTTGAGAATTATTACTAGTTAATTGATTCAAAGACATTTAAATGATGAGGGTTGAAAAATTCTTGGATCTTGGTGGCATTTTTACTCAGAAAATAATGAACTCTTGAATAGAGTTTGTGAGACAATGTTCGTCCACACAGACGGCAAATAGGCCCCAAGATTAATTCACGAGTGGCAACTTTAAGTCCAGAGAAAAAGTGAATCAAGATAAGGAAGGGAATTCTCATTGCTCCTGGTTTCCAACGTTTTGGTCGGTGAATCAAGAATTCTTACGGGCATTTGCTGGGAAAATATGGTCATTTTCGACAAAATTTAACCAAAATTTGTCGAGATCATTACAAGGAAACGCTATCTTACAAGTAATCCTCTTTCTGAATTTCAAACCGGAATCTGTTCCGTTGCTAGCCTGGGGTACACGCGTTTTCTGTGTGTGGGTGCAGGCATTAGAATTCCGTGACGGTCTGACTGAGACCTTAAAACTGATGCTTAACATTTATTTAGAAGTTTTCCTTTCTTCGTGGTTTATACTAGAGAAACCTTTTTGTGTCACCTATAGAAAATTAAACGTAGCAACTTACTGACGTTGCATTTGTGGTCAATGTAAGGTAGCACTCTAATTTCCAGAGAACAATTGCACGTGAACATCTCCAAGGTTGGGCCGTTAACACACGATCCACCGTTCCGACATGGCGACGACAGACAGGGCAAAAATCTGGTAAGATCCTGTAAGTACAAGGTAATAATGCTTGTAACTGAGCGTTAAGAATTAACAGCGTTACTCGGCCCAAGATAAGACATGTCTGGTGTGACAAAATACACTTTTGATAGATCTACAATAGTTTTTGGAACTCGCCTTTCTGTCTCTGCTTAAAAATTAGAAAACGGCCCGAAATATATATTACTTCTCATGTTTATCGTAAAAAAGCGACAGCGTTTGCTTTCGTTTAAGAGAAGCTTACTTCACTGAATGAGAAGGGGAAAAGAGTCATCAAACTCTTCTGAGAGGCAACGTAACCGAGTGCGGGTGAGTTCGTCGGACTTTCAATCCGGCGGTCCGGGGTTCCATTCCCGTTCCGACCACTTAAGCTGGATTTTCTATTTTTCATCATTTTTTGTTCATCGTTGGCGTCGCAGTCGTGGGATGTTAAGGTCCCTGGCTTCTGGTTTATACGGTTCGCAAACTGTAATTTATTTTCAGTTTTTGTGAATGAAGCTGCCCGTTTACTCGCTCCTCGTCCCCGAGGACGTTTCACGAAACGTCAAACGCTACGAGGATACGAGGCGACTGTATATACCCAAGCTAATTTAGCTGACTTGTCACCAATCAAATTCAAGCGTCAATATTGCCTGAATCGGATTTGATCGGATTATCCCCTGTAACTCACTAAACAATGATAGGCTAACGGAAGTTTATACGATCCGGTCCACTCCTGACCGATCCACTGGGTCGGCAAATCATCTTAATAATTCTACGAAGCTAAAACTGAATATTAAGATAAAGTGATGTTCATAGACATCCACAAGAGCGTCTTTATCAGAGCCTTTAATTTTTATAATCTAATTTCTGATCAAGTTACGATGGCCCATGGAGTAGTTTTATTTTAATGATTCATAATACTGCATGCTATTCACGGTTGATACATAAACGCTGTTGAACGCTGTTGAACATAAACGATGTAAAACGAGAACCTAGTTGAGTTTTTGCCGTGGCTAAGAGGCTACAAGTTACGAGCTAAAACATTGATGAGGAGAAAGAGAGCAGACCTTTGACGATCTGAGCAATTGTTCATAGTAAGAACTTTGCCTCGATCGGACTTTCACTGAGTACTCCACATCGAATTCCTGACTACGAAGTAGACAATATTTCTAAAATTTATGGATCCAGGCATAATAATCATAGAGAATTCGAAATCTGAATTTCCTGTTATATTACTTGGAAGGAAGAAAAATCTAACATAAAAACAACAACAACAATTTTATTCTTTACATTCACATTCCAAGGAGTACATAGCTCGCCCCGAGAAAAGCTGGAAGGCTATACCAGTCATGACGGGGCAATTAAATTAACTCGACAAAGCCATCGAAATTGGGATTCGAACTTGCGATGGACCCTCCGAGTTCTGGATGGTTATGTTCAGTTATGTTCTCTGATTAATCCTAAAGACTTAAATGCTGTCTTTACAATCGTTTGCCAGCATTATTGTAAAAACTGAGTCTTTGTATACTGACAATCAGCCTTTTCGGGAGAAATGGTTACTAACGATTTTGATTTTTCATAAGAAATTACTGATACATTTTCGTGGAATCTTTCGTTTCATTACATTGTTTAACGGCTTATTTCGCAAAAAGATCATCAATTTTATTCATTTTTACTGAAAATAAGGATTCTGTTCCGTCAATAAACAATAAAAGCCACATTTGAAAGCTTTGTTATCTAACAATGATTATGCTGGTTAGTCAGATAAAACCGAGATCGCCGGCTCTTTATCGGTTTCAGGTCTTTTAAAAACCACCGCCGGCACGTGCATGCGGGTCGATAAATATTATGTTTGTCGGGCCGCTAGCTTTATTGCTCGGTATATGTAGAGTATAAATAAGGTTTCAGTTCGAAACGACTCTTCACTCAGTTTGTTGCTCAACTGTACTGTGAAAAGTTATCAGTTCAGTCAAATGGATTGTGCTCAGTTGAAATCTATCATTTCCCTGGTGGATTCTCTTGTACGTAATACTCATGTCAGAAGGTCACGTGCGCTGTCATCATATCAAGTTCCTGTTGGTGAACCATCCTTGGCTCCAGTATCCAGCATGTCTCTAACGGACTTCTCCATCTGCAGTATCCTGGGTCTAGAGCCTGAAATCACCCAATCTCCCTCAAGTTTCGGTAAGTTAAGAGTTCCATCGTTAGATACTCGAGCCCTTAATTAGTTGAGAACATCATTTGGCAATTGTATCAATACATTTCTCTTTCCATATAAATTTGTATCCCGTTGTCTTTCTTCAATTGTAATCCATTTCGGAAACAGAAAAAAGAGAAATATTCAGCTTTAAACAAGAGATTTCTGCTAGTTAAAGCTAGCCATTAGTTGCATCATATAATAATATAATGAAACAAATTTTAAATATCTATCCAAACCGAAAATTGGCCTTAGGAAGAGACATAAAAACATGTGTCTATGTTAAAAAAGGACTATCTGTCTCACACGGCATTTAAGTAGATTAAGAGGAAATAATACGCGACATGCGAAAGATTTAAAGTCTATTCTTCTTTAATTTACAGAAAGCAACAGTGCCACCAGTCCGCCGTTACCGCCTTACTCCGACTGTGCAAGTCCGTGTGTCAGCCACAGGGCAACCAGTCCACCGCTAACTCCTTACTCTGACATCGCAAGTTCCAGCAGCGATTGTGACAGTGAGCCCGATCAAGCTTCGACTCCAACCGAACATTCAACGAAGAAAAAGCGACAGCGCACGACTTTCTCAACGATCGAAGTTTGGGAGCTGGAACAAGCATTCAGACGGCGGCCATATTTGCTAAAGGAAGACGAGGAGGAACTGGTACAAAGACTCGGAATTACCGCTAAAAGTCTTAAGGTGAGTTTCTATTTTCACGTTTCCTTTCATGAACGTAAATTTCAAGACACAAAGAGCATTTGTAACCTAAAATGAAATGCAATTTCAGCTCGATTTTGTTCTTGACCAAATCATTTTCAGTTTTGCCGGGAAGCAAGATATGTTTATCGATTGACAGTTTGGCAATTGCAATGTGATTTTTCACTCCGGTCAGAAAATGTTTTGAATACAAGTATGTTTTTGTCGGACAGTAGTTGCATGTAATCTTGCAAAGTTTTGCTTCATGTTAGTCATCGTTCTTTTCTAAACCATTCATGTTTTTTAGCAATTTTGATTGAAATTCTTAATTAATTGAACACTTCATAAGGCAATTTGAACGTTATTTTGCTGTCAGAAAATGTTTTGGAATTTATACAAATTATTATAGGTTCTGTGTGTTGTGTAGATTTTCCCTGTTATTGCCCTAATTGAGTTAATAGGTCAGATTTTTGTTCTCTTTCTTGCAGTATTGGTTTCAAAACCGACGAGCCAAATCAAGGAAACTGGAGAGAAAGATTTCATCGGTCTGTCAGACCCGCCCGTCAAACCAGTTTGTAAGCCGACCCTATTCAGTTCATTGGAAACAAGGCGAACGAGTGTCCTGTCCAGCGATGGAAAGCTACTTTAGAGATACAAACCAGAAGACAGTTGTCAGTCGTCAACTGTCAGTCAAGTCAAACCGTGTACCCAAGTTCCACCCCGACCAGTTCACCATCAGACCTGCTGAGCCCGCAATACTACCGTACAGCCGTGCCCTCTACAGATATCAACCATACTAAACTAAGACTTTTGTTTAGTGTAAGATTGTGCTGAATTTGATAAGTAGGCTAAAGAATTGATGCTAAGAACATGTTACAAATATCATAAGTTAGACGTAATAGCTCGAATTAGATAGCATTGGATATATCGGATCTAGTAGTGTAGGAGGAAAAGTATTTTTAATAGTTGCTGTGTAAATAATTCTAGAAAGGAAGCTGGTAGTGTTGTAAATAAAACAGTTTTCAGTAGTGATACCATGAAGTTATTTGTTAATGGTTGATTTTCTTTTATAATTTGTTGAACGGATGAAGAGGGTAAGGAAGACTTTGGAACAGGCTAATTCTACCTTGGGTGCAAAAATCGTAGCGTGCCATTTTTGAAAAACCCTTTATTTGGATGTTATGATTGTCATCTAGTTTACCGCAGCCGACGTCTTATTTCAGTGCATTTTGTTACAATAATCTACAATTTTAGGTTTCAGAATCAAATACTTGTATTACTGAAGTTATTTAACAGAAGCAAAGCCCATATTTAAAGATTGGGTCATTTGTGGTTTAAGCGATGTAAGTGTAACACCAGGCATTAAGAAGTCGCGTCTTTTTTATGTCGCGGTCTCCTCCTATAATCCCTATCCTGTTTCCACAATCTTCATCTACTTTTTGCATTGGATAAGCCATCCTGCCTTCCATCAGCCAACCATTTCTACAAATAAAAAAAGACAAAGTGCAACAAAATGCACCATAATGTGAACATTGAATTAAATATCATGATTATTATTATGAAAGTGGAAAAGATCCTCGCAGTTGAATATTAAACAACCTTCGCGGTTGAAAAGAACCTGAAAAATCCAGGCTTGACCGCGAATTGAATTCAACCCTCACCTTTGCGATGACCGGGTGCAACGCTCTCTCCGATCCATAAAACTAACTTAAAACCAACTTGAGAGAAGGTCATTGTGAGTTGGTAGCTAGTATACCCGATGGTGGAAATGACATGAAAGGAAATGTATGAAATGACTCATATTACGACCAGTGGATAAAGATACTGATGAAAGTGGAAATGATCCTTGCAGTTGATATTTTCTTCAGGTTCTTTTTCAACCGCTTAGGTTGTTTATGGAACTGCGAGGATCATTATCCGCAGTTGAAAATATAAGCCATTTCTCAAAAACACAAAAATGGAACAGTGGAAGAAAAGGTGCACTCTCTGAGGCTCACTCTCTCTACTAGTCAGTACTAAAAAAATGTCTAATTCCCGCCGCTCAATCATGAGGCTTTACCAGGGGAAATGCAAGTGTTCTCATAACTTACTACTCTTTAGTTGCTTTACCTACAAATCTGAAGTCCAGCTTGCCAGGCAGCGGTTAGTTGATCCAAAGTGGCGAGAGACCCGTTGAGTATTTCACACAGTCGCATAGCCTCAAAATAGTTGAGTTGAAGCTTGCCCACTTGTGCTTGCATAACGCCTTGTACATGTAGCTGTTTTACAACCTCGATGTGAGATTCGTCTGGAATAAACCAGAAAACGCATAAACTTCGGGAAACTTTTCTCGGGGAGAATTCGTGTTCCATGGTCTTAGAGGCCTGAGGAGTCTTAGCCCCATTTCCGAATGTTCTCGGCAGCTTTAGTTTTCGAAAGATAATCTCGAAATTTCTGATCTTCTTAAAGCTTAATTTTTGTCGCTAGGTTAATTAGTGGTCGGTACTTTAAAAGCCTTACCAGAAATTTGCTTATCAGAATGCTCCATTCAGTTATCTTTGAGAATTATTACTAGTTAATTGATTCAAAGACATTTAAATGATGAGGGTTGAAAAATTCTTGGATCTTGGTGGCATTTTTACTCAGAAAATAATGAACTCTTGAATAGAGTTTGTGAGACAATGTTCGTCCACACAGACGGCAAATAGGCCCCAAGATTAATTCACGAGTGGCAACTTTAAGTCCAGAGAAAAAGTGAATCAAGATAAGGAAGGGAATTCTCATTGCTCCTGGTTTCCAACGTTTTGGTCGGTGAATCAAGAATTCTTACGGGCATTTGCTGGGAAAATATGGTCATTTTCGACAAAATTTAACCAAAATTTGTCGAGATCATTACAAGGAAACGCTATCTTACAAGTAATCCTCTTTCTGAATTTCAAACCGGAATCTGTTCCGTTGCTAGCCTGGGGTACACGCGTTTTCTGTGTGTGGGTGCAGGCATTAGAATTCCGTGACGGTCTGACTGAGACCTTAAAACTGATGCTTAACATTTATTTAGAAGTTTTCCTTTCTTCGTGGTTTATACTAGAGAAACCTTTTTGTGTCACCTATAGAAAATTAAACGTAGCAACTTACTGACGTTGCATTTGTGGTCAATGTAAGGTAGCACTCTAATTTCCAGAGAACAATTGCACGTGAACATCTCCAAGGTTGGGCCGTTAACACACGATCCACCGTTCCGACATGGCGACGACAGACAGGGCAAAAATCTGGTAAGATCCTGTAAGTACAAGGTAATAATGCTTGTAACTGAGCGTTAAGAATTAACAGCGTTACTCGGCCCAAGATAAGACATGTCTGGTGTGACAAAATACACTTTTGATAGATCTACAATAGTTTTTGGAACTCGCCTTTCTGTCTCTGCTTAAAAATTAGAAAACGGCCCGAAATATATATTACTTCTCATGTTTATCGTAAAAAAGCGACAGCGTTTGCTTTCGTTTAAGAGAAGCTTACTTCACTGAATGAGAAGGGGAAAAGAGTCATCAAACTCTTCTGAGAGGCAACGTAACCGAGTGCGGGTGAGTTCGTCGGACTTTCAATCCGGCGGTCCGGGGTTCCATTCCCGTTCCGACCACTTAAGCTGGATTTGTTTTTCAGTCTTCCGGAATATGATTGGCTATGTAACGTTTTTATTTAGACAACTGGCCTCCTGATAGTTGGCAGGGGTATTTTATCCTGTTAAGTTCTATCTGGATTATTTGTTTCTAATTATTTCAGTAGAATGCTTATAAAGTAGTTGGTGCACATTAACTACAACCAGGAGCCATAATCGGGATAGGGGACCGCAGCTGGATATCTTTTCCAGTAGTGGGGTTGGTTTCATCAAAATAGCCAAATGTACTATTTTTAGGAAAAAAAAGTGCCATCTCGTGTGACACGCGCGCGCAATATTTGCGAGGGCGACGAGAAAAGGTTAAACAAACAAAATGGCGTCGGAAGTTTCTTCCGTAGGAGATGAATAAATTCCATTTCTGTCATCCTCTGAATTTGAGGCAAGACCTTGAGGAGAAACCCTTTGACAATAACTCTAAATGTGATGACTGCGGAGTGTGATTCTACTTATGTTATATCAAACAGCGTACTGACAGTGTTATTGACAAATCCAGTGACAAAGAGATATCGCAGATCAGTCGTGCTAAGAATATCCCGTTCGGACTAAACAAACAAAAGTGCTTGCGGGGAAAAGGAGGGCGGAAAGTTAACAACAACAACAAATCATTATAAACAATTTTCCTCAAATAAATCTTTGAATTCATAATAAATACAAATCCACCTTTCGTGCAGATGGTGTAGGGTCGACTCTCAGCTCTGAGCTGTTTAATTTTTCTTTGTATACTTATCTTTTTTTTCGTTTTGCTTTGTCGTTGTTTTGTTTTTAATCATGTTTTTTCCCCTTGGCTTGTTTCCCTTTATTCTTACTGCTGGCCCATAACAGCCTCGCAAGGTTTTTTGCGACAAACGGATTTCTAATAATGTTTATATAACATTGGCTCATTCTTCCACCGGGCATGCATTGTATATCGAGATATGAAGCACTTGGAAAGTTCAGTGAACACTCAAATAAAGTCGCAAAACGATCACCTATCTCTTAAAATCCCACACGAGATCCGTGTGAATTCGCAGGTCAGCCGCTCGAGTTTGTGACGTTGAGGGTGGCACAGTTTGTTCTAAAAATAGCACATTTGGCTATTTCGATGGAACCCCGCACTTGAGGTCTTTATTATACTACCCCGATTATTGCTCCTGGCTATAACAAACTTTAACCTACATTTTAACTACGAAACTTGGCCAAGTTCGAAAATTTTTGTCAGTATATTTTTGTGAATACTTTTTTTGAACCGAAATGAAAATATTTCGCGGATAATACTGAAGGAAAAAAAATGATCTCTTACCCTTGAAAATAATACTTACAGACATTCTCATGCCGTAATAGACAAAATTGGTTCTATTTAGCAGCTTGTGTGGTTCAAGAGCTCCTTCAGAATTGCTAAGCTCACAAATGTGTAATCCGTTGGTGGCTATCCGACCAAAGTTAAATGACAGGCAACTTCCTTGAGGCATTTGCAAACACAAGAAGGCACAATCCAGTCCACTTTTTGTCTTCTCTACCTTGGTTATGTTACCCACATGTGATGCTGACTCTATGCTGTAAAATAATGCTTCTTTTCGTTTATTTCTAGCGGCTGATACTTCAGGGTCAAAATCCAACAGTTGAAGTAATAGAAGCATTGACTTCAATAGGTTTGAGAGGAAGGGACGACAAAGGCAATTACAAGCCATTTGTTTGCCGGCCAGATTCAGTCTGCAATAAATTAAAACGCAGGAAAGTTTGAAATCGTAGTGGCAATATATTTATTTATCCCGTTCAAGGCAATTTTTAGAGTTTCACTTGTGTTCATTTATTTATTTCTTTCACTGGTTTCAGTTCATTTGTGTTATGTATTTATATTTAAAGGTTATAGTACAAAACTAATTTAGTAAAAAACCCCATGACTTTGCTAGCAGAGAATGTTTACACTCTGAAATGGGCTGATTCCACTTGCAAGCCTTCCGAGAATCTGTTTTATGTCAACTACGTAGTTACCTCGAAATTAGCAAAAGTAAATAAATGAATGATAAAATAAAGAAAGAAAATAACTGGATAACTTTTTACTTAAACCAATCACTTAAAATCAGCATTGGGAAATCTTTTTAAAGCAGCTGCGTTACCTGTTAAGTCCCGCTCTCGTAAGATGATGTCCTCCCGAGCCAGACATTCTGCCAAAAGGTAAAAATGTTTACCATCAGTGATGGCTGGCAAAGAGTAATAATTAATAATTTATACAATAATACAAGGTGCTAATTGGCTCGAAATCTTTCTAAATAGTACCGGTAATTACTGTATTTAGAATATAACTTTTCTCTAGTTATTATATTTACGCTAATTAGCCCTCTTTGACTCAATTGTATATTCAAATTAGAAACTGTTACCTTGAATGCGTTGAGGACCACAAATTTATTTATAAGAGAAAAGAAAAACTTAACCTAGTTTACCACCATTCTTGAATAAGGTGTAATCATGATTTTGGTTATTATTGTTCATAGCATTGTTTACTAGCAGGAGTTAGCCGTCCGGCCATCTAACATGTCTGTGCGTAAGTAAATTCACACTAGAGAGTGCTCTTTATTTATATGTAAACAAAATATGCCAGGGAATTTACTTCGAACGACAGTTCAAACGGACACTTCGATCCAGCAATAAAAGATAGAATATAGAAGTGAATGGCTTTGAGAGAAGTTTCCGGCGCTCAAAATCGAGACGTTCATTGTTACAATAGAAAATGCTGCTACAAGTTTTCTAATAAGAGCTGATGATTAAGAGATTGGTAGGGTTAAGCTGAGGTTCATCTGCACGATCTGATCCAGCTTTTTCCAAGGGCTAGCAAATTCTGCTATACTCCCACTGGTAAAACAAATCATTTAAACACGTTCTACAGGGGTAAAAGAAAATTTATTGTACAAAAAGAGCGTTTTCAAGGAACAAAAGCCTTTAGTAATTTACGGTATTACTGGAGAATTTTATTTTAGTTACCCGGCCCACAATGCTGCGTGTTCAATTGCGAACAAGAACGCTCTTAGTAGATGTGAGTCTCGCTTGCTTGGAGATAAGATAAGACATGAGGAGGCGATTAGACCCACGAGCGGTCATCCTTCCTTCCTCAGAGCGACGCGCTGCGAACGAAAAAGGCTACTGTGACTCAAAAGAGAAATAAATAAGAGACTGCTCGGTGTCTAGGGGTCGATTAATTGTACTTGAAACAAGATTTCCTCGTTAAAAGTTCAAGACGCAAAATAGTGAAATTGTAAAATTGTAATTGTATAATTTTGCAATTTGTTTACCCACGGAGCACTAAGGAGTTCATAAGAAGTCGTTGAAACGTGTCCGTGCGTTCCAGATCGAATTGGAATTTGAAAGTATTGGTTTTTAAGGAGAGGGGAAAACCGGCGTACCCGGAAAAAAAACCTCTCGGAGCAAGGGAGAAAACCAACAACAAACTCAAAACTTGTATCCCTGAAAACCATACCCCGTTCAGCGGCACATAACAGTCTAGGCCATTTAAGGGACTCGGTGCCTTCGACCCTCCGCGTGGCTGCCCCTAGTTTGTAGTGCAATAAAGGTGATGTTGTAGTTTTTCCGGAGAGCCTTGCCGAAAGTGTTTGGGCAATTTAGAAGGGAGCAACAAGTGACAACTTGGTTTTCAGAATTTTGAATGATATTTTCTTTCGATTTAATGACCGAATTAAAAGGGAAATCGAATTTACAATGAGCAGCCTGTACTGGCATTGATGAAAGCGGAACGGCATCCTAGGGCCGACAAAAATGAATAACTCCTCTGTAGTGCATGTGTGGTTTATGAAGAAAACGCATAAAAAAATCCATAGTACATTAAATTTGATCAAATGGGGCACAGATTAGGCTGGCTTTTAAGCCGCTTAAGGGTCCGGGCGCGGATGGGTAGGAAAGCATAGAAATTTAGCGATCGAAAAGTGCGGCTTAATAGTTCAAACCATTGCGAGTTGATTGGAACCAAAACGGCCAATCAACATGACAGCGCACATAGTTGGCAACAGATGAGCGCAATTATTAAGGAGAGGTTTAGGGCGTAACTTGCAAATAAAATTGCAGGGCTGCCTATCAGACTTGCTTACTGCGGGACTATCACAGCTATCAGACGTGGGTTTAAATCTATTATTTTGTGTTTTCAACAGATCGGATAATCATCAACTTACAATATTGCAAAGGAGAAAAGAAGCGAGAATAGCAAGTATACATCTTTTGTCCAATTCTCCATTGAGCTTGGGCATCCTCGGAGGTCTAAGTGAGGAATTACTGAGTGAATCGCGCTAAAAAAACTGCAACGTGGATCTTTAAGCCGGTTAAATTAGTGGTAATTTGGGCTTTTACTAAAAGTTGAGCTGAACCGGCCTAACTGTCATTGTAGGCTATTAACATACTTTGTTTTACTTGCTCATAATAGACGACAACATTCAAGAAGGTGTAACGAAGAACGAAGGATTTTGCGAGTAGCAGAGCAAGTGAGTGGTTTCACAGCTCGCGAATTGAGCGTCTCTCGTGTTCTCAAGAACATTCTCTCTAGACATTACAAAGCCCAACAACTTGCTTATATCTGAAAATATAATATTTTTTTGTGAAAGGCCAAGACAATCTCCAAAACATAACAGTTACTATTAATATAATTTATTCATAGAAAAGTTAAGGACATTACTTTACTTAACCTCTTGGACTAAACTTCCACTAAATAACCGTTAAGCTTCAAAAGCTCTAAAATTTAACCGTCAACCATCCAAACAGGGACAAATATAACCGTCGACCTTCAATGCAACCACAACATTAAGACCCTCCTAATACCAATAAGTTATGGCTTATTGAGCGATTCATCCGTCTTATTTGAGGTAATTAATCGTTTGACGTTTCAGTGTTTAAAAAAACCGTCGCGTGCCATTTCTGACAGGTCCTTTATTCGGATATTATGATTGTCATCCTGTATACCGCGGCCGACGTCTTATTATTTCATGCCATTTAAAAAAACCGACTGTCCGCGCCGTTTAATTAAGTTAACTGTTCTAGAAATCGGCAACCATGCAGGTCAATAAACAAATTGTTTGTCGGGCCGATAGCTTTGTTGTTTGTTGATTGACAGATGGCAGAGTGCCGACGACGCGAGAACGTATAAATATGGTTTCGGTTCAACTTAACTCTTCACTCAGTTTGTTAGTATCAGATCCAGCTAATTAAATCTGTTGAAATGGAGTGTCATCAAATGAAATCCGTTATTTCACTTGTAGATTCTCTTGTACGTTCTACGCATGTCAGTAGGTCCCGTATTCGCACCAAGTCACCCACGGACTTCTCCATCTGCAGTATCCTGGGTGTAGAAAGTGACGTCACTCAATCTTCTTCGAGTTCTGGTAAGTATAACGTACGTAACTACGACGTCATTTGTATATGCAGTTATTCCATCAGGCTTTTTCTACACAGTTTAATATAAATTTCACTTTGTTAATCGAAAGTCTTTTTTGTTGTTTTAACATGCCTGTTTGAAAGTTTTATCGACTTTCGTTACTTAAAAAAGTCTCCAAGTCCATATAAACTATACGAACCATAAATTTCCCAACCACTTCGAAGACATAAACAACGAAAACACAGTGTGTTTTACTGAGAAAGATCTTACAGTACTTAAACAATAAAAAGGTATTTAGGACGAGTTTTCAAGCAAGTGTTAATTTTTCTTCAACAGAATGCAACAGTGATACCAGTCCGCCGTTATCGCCCTACTCCGACTGCGCGGCAAGCCCCCGTCCAAGCTACAGTGCAACCAGTTTACCGTTAACTCCTTACTCTGACGTCAAAAGCTCCAGCAGCGATTCTGACAGTGAGCCCGATCAAACGAAGAAGAAACGACAACGTTTCTCGCCGATCGAAGTTTGGGAGCTGGAACGAGCATTCAGACGGCGGCCATATTTGCTAAAAGAAGACGAGGAAGAACTGGTACAAAGACTGGGAATTACGACTAAAAGTCTGAAGGTGAGTTTCTATCATTCATGTTTCCTATCATGAGCGTAAATTACAGGAAATAGTGCGCATTTGCACTCTAAGAGGAATGGAATTTCAGTTAGATTTTGTTCTTGATCATTTTCAGTTTTGCCGGGAACGGTAAGTTGCAAACGCTCGGTGCGGGACTTTAAGCTATGATTATCGATTCAAGGCTCGGCAATTGTAAAGTGATTTTTCAAATGCATTGAAGCAAATATGCAATTGTCGGACCATGATTACATGTAGTCTTGCAAAGTTACACTTCAAATCAGGCATGTTAGTCATCGCTATAATTTCCTCAATCGGCTCTTGTGCTTGTGGTGAATCTTTGAAACGTGTGAAGCCATGGTATTTTCTTTATATTATGTGAAATTTCAATTATATTAATTTTACAATTCACAAGGCAATTAATAAATAAACGCGCTATTTTGCTGTCAGAAAGTTTTTTGGAATCGATACAAATTATTATTGGACTGTGCTGTGTGTTGTGTAGATTTTGTCTAATGTTGCCCTTATTCAGTTCATAACTCAGACTTTTGTTATCTTTCTTGTAGTATTGGTTTCAAAATCGACGAGCCAAATCGAGGAAACTGGAGAGAAAGATTTCATCCCTCTGTCAGACCAGCCCGTCAAACCAGTTTGTTAGCCAACCCTATCCAGATCACTGGAAACAAGGAGAACGAGTGTCCTGTCCAGCGATGGAAAGCTACTTTAGAGATATAAACCAGAGAACAGTTGTCAGTCGTCAACTCTCAGTCAAGTCAAACCGTGTACCGAAGCTCCACCCTGACCAGTTCACAATCAGACCTGTTGAGCCCGCAAGACTACCGTACAGCCGTGCCCCATACAGATACCAACCATACTAATTTGTATTGACTAGTGTACTGAATTTGATATAAGTGTCAAAAGAGCGAAAAAGAGTTTACAGATATAGTAATTATGATGTCTAGTGTAATAGGAGAAAAAATAAGTTTAGTTCATTGCTTTGTAAATAGTTCTAGCACTGAAACTGGTGGTGTTGTAAATAAATCAGTTTGTACTAGTGTCTGTGATAACATGTATGTAGTTTAATCGCCGTTGTTTTATCGGAGAAGGGAGGGTGAGACTATGAAAACAAGGTTGGCTGCTCAGAGGGTGTGGGAGGAGGGGGCCGGGGGGCATTAAAGGGAAGTTTAGGTATAGTTGTGCCCCCGAGGCCTTTGATCCTGTCCTCAAAAGACAAGTTTCTGATTTCGCTACTCTGTTTTAGACAAGAGACCTTATTTCTAGTCTCCCTCGCAGCCGTTTTATGGATGGGGGAGCGTTGCGTGACTTCCAAAAAACGGCTGCTAGGGAGACTACCTTATTTCCCGACCCTGATTTATTTTGTTTCGCACAAGAAATTAAGCGTTTCTAAAAGTAACATCATGAGATTAGAATTTTTAAAAAATACATTGTTGGTTCTTCTCATGTGGACTGAGCATCGTCAATCTTTACTCTCTTTTTAAAGATTCCGGTCCGAAAAGACACCTTGTTCGAGACGCAAAATAGTGAAAGTGTATCCCTGAAAACCATACCCTGTTCAGTGGCACATAACAGTCTAAGCCAATTAAGGGAAGCGCCGCCTTCGATCCAACGGGGTTGACTCCCTTTGTAGTGCGATAAAGTTACTGTTGTAGTTTTCCGGAGAGTCTTGCGAGAGGTACTTTGTGCTGCTGCGGTTATTTAGAAGGGAGCAATAAATGACTTGGCTTTTCAGAGATTTTGATTGATATCTGCTTTAGATTTAACGACCAAATTGAAAGAGAAATCGAATCATTTACGATAAGCAGCCTGTACTGGGATTGATGAGAGCTGAACGGCATCCCAGGGCCGACGAGAATGAATGACATTTCTGTCACCGTGTGAAATCATCATGAGACAGAGCATAAAGGAGGGAAATGCATAGCACATTTATAAAATTTATATACAGTTATATATATTCATTTATTTAATTGGAAAAAACGTAATTATTAAAAAGTGCCGCATAATAGTTCCAACCAAACAATGCGGGTTGAAACCTAAACGGCCAATTCAACATTAGAGCGCATTAAAGGGCGCCACTTGCAAAATTTGGAGGGATGCTTATCAGTCTTATTGGGGGACTATCACAGCCAAGAGATTTGTTTTAAATCTGTTTTTTTGTTTGTTTTACAGATCCAATAATTACCAACCTACAATGTTGCAAAAGGGAAAAGAGAGTATAACCTGTTCCAGGCTCTCAGATAGTGAAAAAGACGCGAGAGTGAAAGACACGCGTAAATATGAGCGCGTGAGAAGGGAAGATGAGATTTCCTCCCGTTTTATTTTCGTGTTCGCGCTTTCTCAATTTCGCGGACCAGACTATATCTGGGAGCGAGTGAGTCTTTTGCCCAATTCAGTGTGCGGGTGTGAGGGTCTTCGTGCGAGATTAGCAATTGCGCTAAAGAAACAGCTTCAGAATTTGTGTAGATCTTAAACTTCAAGAAGGTAATAATTTGGGCTTTTTTCCCCTGGAAAAATTAGAAGTTGAGTAACCGGCCGAACTTTCATTTTACGCAACATGTTTGGTCTCTCTTGTTTACAATAGATGACAACGTTCTAAAAGGTGTAACGAAGAACGAAGGTTTTCGCGGGTTGCAACTCAATTGAATCGTTCGCGAATTGAGCGTTTTAATGTGAGAACTTGTTATGTCCTAATACAAACAAGTTATCGTTTATTGAGCGATTCCTCTAAACCCCCCCCCCCCCCCCCCCCCCCACAAAAGTTCTCGGGAGCCCGCCCCCCCCCCCCCATCCCCTTTTTTTTTGCCTCCCCCCCCCTCCTCTTTACACCCCCAACAAACCACCAGACAGAAAAACAATTTTTTTTCTCGGCGGCTCTTCTCGTTTGTTTTTTGGCGTGACATTGGTAAGAACTGACACAAGAAATAGT